CTTTAAGCTCACGCAACTGCTTCACATGCGCTCTATGATATGGTCTCTTGCGAGTTGTGATGGGACTCGTGACGAGTGGACCAATTGTTCTAGCTCGTGTTCATGTTCCCCCACGACGGGTTGTCTTGCGGGTCGGGCTACCCCCTCGCGCATCGAGCCTTCGGGTTGAACTACCATCCCACACTCCTCGGGTTGAACTACCCCGTCACGCACCGAGTCTTGGGGTCGAACTACCATCCCACGCCCCTTGGGTCGAGCTACCCCGTCGCGCACCGAGTCTTCGGGTCGAACTACCATTCCACGCCCCTTGGGTTGAGCTACCCCGTAGTGCACTAAGTCTTCAGGTCGAACTTCCACCCCACGTCCCTTAGGTCGAGCCTCTAGCCCCTGTGCTTCGGGTCGAGTTGTCATCACCCTACCCGGAGATGAGATCGACGCTTGTCTAGCCTCTACCGCTGCTGCTATCATCCTCTCCAAAGCGCTAGGCGTGACTTGAATGGGCTGCTCTGGGATGAAAAGCTGAGCATTCACGCCGATCCCCTCCGTCGTCCCTTCCTGGAGTTGCAACTCCACTCCATCTACCTCTCGGCGTGGTAAGCTCGTGCTTGGTCTCGTCGGTATTTGCATCGTATCCACTGGTATTGGGCTATTCGCCGCTGCCTCCGATTGCTCCGGTGGCCGCCTAGTAGCAGGGGCTGGAGTCGCCGGTGTGTCTCCACACAATACCCACCCCGGCGGCGGCCCAGCTCCTACAGGGCGCTTGTGCAACCAAGAGTTGTCTTCTTCATGTTGTTCATGCTCTCTTTCTCCTACCATCTTCTTCAATCCTTGCTCCTCCGCTTGCTTTCCGGTTGTGATGTATGAGATACCACCAGATCAACATCGGTTGAGCTAGGGTTTCCCACAGAGGGCGCCAATTTGATATGGTCCGAGATCGGTGGCTTCGGTCTTGCGGAAGGTTCTTCCTGGTCACGACGTTGGTTCGCTTGATTCGGTCCGGTCCAAGCTTGAGTGTTCTCTGGTACGTGAAAGCGCGTCGGAATTTCTCCGGCGCAAGCCCTCCGACGCCCAAGTTAGGATCTCGGATTTTGAGAGAATTGTCTGTGATAAATGTTGTAGTAGAATATTAAATGAAGTCTTACCTTTTACTCCAGCATTTATCGTATATATAGTGTTTAGTTGTACGGATTGCATAGTAATTGCCGTTACTAAGGGTCGGACTAGAGTAGGTGCTCGACCCTTTCTCAGGGGTCGACACCTTATGGGTCGACTCCTCGCGAATCGACACCTTAGGGTTCGACCGTGGCATTACGATCCGACCGTCCTATGGACTGAGTTGACTGCTCCCCACGTGCTCTTGCATGTGTTGAACATCGGCTCGATGGGTCGAGCCCCCACATGGGTCGAGGGGTCGAGCTCCTACACGGGCCAGTGGGTCGAGCCCCCACATGGGTCGAAGGGTCGAGTCCCTACACGGGCCTATGGGTCAAGCCCGTTCGGCCGTGGATGCTAGGGTCAAGGGCCGAGTCCTTTCGGCCCTGGGGCGCTAAGGCCGAGGGTCGAGCTCATGGGCCGGTTTTGCGAGTTCTTACCCGGTTTCATCGTGTTGGGTCGAATCAATGTTAATATCCCTATCAACACCAATTTGCTAACATCCATACACAGCTATATAAATTTCGATGCTTGGAACATAATTTTTCTCCTTGTTCAGCTATATAAACTCAGTTATTAATTTTAAACTTTCTGATTAACAATTTGTGTGCAACTCTTTAAGGACAAAGATTCTTTAAGGACAAAGATAACGGTGAATGTATGTTAGCAGCTTGATCCATCATCTGTAAATAACTAAATATATATTTAATCTTGTGTTATGTGGCATGAAAAGTTGACATATAGGTGAAAGATGATATGGCCCCAGCCCGGTTCGGCCCTGTTTTTGGCCCGGGTTGAGCTGTATTGATTATTTAAATTAGCTAGAGAATTTGGCTGCAGTTTCTAGAATGTTTCGATTTTAAAGGGGTATACCTTGTCTCGGAGAGCAAGACATTAATCTCTTATAAATATGGGATTCAGTTTCACTTTCTGAACGATTTCTCTTATTTACAAAATACTATTTGTGTAAAAAAATAAGATATAAACAAATGAATAGTAAATCAATTTGGCCACAATCAAACTTATATGGAGCGTTTAAAATTTTCCTTGTATGATAAAGAAAATTAATTTTAGTAAAATTTTTTTTTAGCCATGTTTAAATGGCCAACACAAATTTTAGCCATATTTTGCAAAAAAACATCTTTTTTAGCCATTTTGGCACTTGAAAAGTCTAAAATACCTTTACTACCTATTTTTATATAAAAAAATAATAAAAAATCGTCAATTTCTGGGATCCATAAATCGATTTCTGGGCCCATGAATCGATTTCTAGTCCCGGAAATTGATTTCTGGTCCAGAAATCCTAGAAATTCAAGAAATGATTTCTGGATCAAGAAATTAATTTCTGGTCCCGGAAATTGATTTCTGGTCCAGAAATCCTAGAAATCCAATAAATGATTTCTGGACCAGAAATGATTTCTGGATCAAGAAATCGATTTCTTGGTCGAGAAATCGATTTCTGGTCTCGAAAATTAATTTCTGGTCCAGAAATCCAAGAAATCCAAGAAGATTTCTGGATAAAGAAATCGATTTCTTGGTCCAGAAATCGATTTTTGGTCCCGGAAATCGATTTATGGTCAAGAAATCCTAGAAATCCAAGAAATGATTTCTGGATCAAGAAACAATTTCTGGGTCCAGAAATTGATTTTTTGGTCCCAGAAATCCCAAAAATCCTAGAAAAAATTTCTGGGGCCGAAAATCGATCTCTGGTCCAGAAATCGTTTCTGTCCCAGAAATCCCAAAAATCTTAGAAATCTATTTCTGGATCCAGAAATCGATTTCTGGACTCAGAAATCCCAGAACTCCCAAAAACGATTTTTGGAATCATTTTTAGATCCTATAATGATTTCTGGTACAAAAAAATCGATCCCAAAAATCGTTTCTGGTTCATATTTTATTCGTTTTATTATATAATACATTGTATCATATATAAGACATGTTTTTTTTTTTGACATTGTTTGTTACTAAAATACTTTTGTATTTTTTTATAGATGTTGTGTGAAAAAAGCTCGAATTGTGCACAACGAATTTTAGAATGAGAATGTCTATAAAAATGGACATGCAAAGATGAACTTTATGTGTTTGAGGAGTTTGTCGCATTAAGACTTTTTAAATAAAATTCATGACATTATTTGTGGATATAAACACACGTGTGAGTATCAATATCACCTCTTGATGGCAATGAAAATGG